TGTTCAGCCTCCTGTCCTATCTGAGAGTCCTGGTGCTAATGAGGATCCAACGGATAAAGATACTGAGGAAAGTGAAGGTGGTTCCCTGGAGTCTGACGATTTGGACGGCCAATCTTTACTTACCGAAACTGTTAAGGATGGTGTGGTGGCAGATGTCTCTAAGGACGGTTTACCCCGTCAAGAAGAGGGCACCATAGTTACACCGGGTCAGCCGGAACCAGTGCCTCGTGTTGAATTGCCGTCCGAAGCAAAGGCAACAAGGCCACTCGCTCCGAATCCACAGGAACAGCTGCCCAAAACACCAACGGAAGATGAGCCCCTTAGCACAGGTCTCGGAGGGAACAGACCATCTGGGGAACTCGCGGAAACGGCCTCTCTATCTCCTCCAAAGGGCGGCGGTGCTGCCAGCGATCAAACTGCCGGAGGCACCACGGACAAAAGTCTGCACAATGATCCCCTGCATGGGGCCGCGGTTACGGTGCAAAACCACCGTGAGGGAAACACGGAACTGAGCGAGGAAGCAAAATCAACAAAGGCAACTGCCAGCACAACTGATCCGGGGAGTACACAGAACAGCAGCATCAACCCTGCAGCAGGACCCTCGGTGCTTCAAGAAGAGGCGGCTACTCGTGACGCCTCCCCCACACTAAAACCCGCGTCTCCTGCTGCTGGCGCTGAGGGTTCCGCTGGTATTCCTTCTCCAATTGAAACTCCGGGAAGCGCTGGTGTTAACTCTCCTGCTGGCATTGCTGGCACCGGTGGCACGACGGATTCCTCTTCTTCTGCGGCCTCGCGGGCGCCGGATCCCGCTCCCTCTGGTGAACTTCCAGGCGCTGCACATTCTGCTTCCGCTGCTTCTTCTGCTGCACCCGAATCCCCACCAGATACAAGGCCGACAGGAGGCGGCAGCCACTACTCCCATGATTCCCCAGTGGAGCTGCAGGAAGAGACTGCTGCTGCGCCACTGACTCAGTTGTCCCAGACCGGCGAGGACGGGAGTGCAGCGGAAGGCACCGAAGAGGACGCCGCCACAAGCACCAACGACACTGCTACCAGCGAAGGCAATTTTACGGCGGCAAGCATGCCGGCTCCTCTTTCCTCTGCGCCCACAACGAAGGCGCTGGAGAACCGTGTGGGAAATGACGCCTGCTTTCATGACACCCGTCTGCATGCCAGGCTGCTGCTTTTTCTGGCGGCGCTCACGTACGGGACACTTGGTTGAAAGATTGTATGTGGGCTATGCGTGCCAGCATCCAACCGCGGGCTTTGTGCACTTCTTTTGTTTCTACGCAATAAATAAGGTAAAATGCTGAGCTTTTTAAAATTTGCTTCCGCTGCCCCGCCGTGTGTTCCTTGCTGCTCTCCGTATCCGCTACTTGGCACGTATCCCGGGCAAAGTCATATGCACGACACGCCCACAGCTGTTTGCGTGGACCATGTTTGTGTGTGAGTGCATGCGCGCTGGAGCCATACTGTGCAGC